AATAACGCTTCAGGTCTCCTAATAGCGCCAAGCATTCGAGCAATTATCCACGTAGCGCAAGGCAGCATCTAGGTATAGTACTCTCTTGTGACATTCCTCCGAAAGCTAAATGGCAATCTATTTTGGAGCTATCCTTGCTGTTCACATGTGTCTGGTATATAGATTACTATCTATTTCAATCCTTTTACCATACAAATTTTAAAAAAACGATTTAAGACAGGCATATACGTCAGGATTTATTGACGTCAATAAATTTCTTGACAACTTCTCCGTTGCACCTTGCCACTGCTTGAGGATGATGACGAAGAGAACATACGGAAGTTTGAAATTTCACAGAATCAATGGCATAACAACGAGACTCATAGTTCAGTTTAAATACTGATCAGATAAAGGACACTGCATTAAATCAACGGAGCTAGGAATGGGGGAGGTTGAGGAAAGTTAACGAAGATCACTTGGGGATTAAAAATAAGTAACCAATTATCAGGGTAATTGGAGGTTGACCACGTGGTCAAGCTGCTTGTGTATGTCAGGTTTTCCCGCCGTATGTAGGCAGCTTCCAAATTACGAAGGGTTCTATTCGTTCTTTCGCCCGAACAAGTACTCGAAACGCTGTTTTGACGTCAATAAATCCTGCGTATACGCCTATTTTAAATTTGTACCGGGGAACGTTTCAAAAAACGATTATTGGTTCAGAGGACTCCGTTAGATACAGTTCATTTAATGGTTCTTGCTGTTGGGCTTTGCATCCTCCAAACTACGGAAGTAGAAAACACGTATGACTGTCTCGTGTGAACGCAAGTCTTTTTTCGGTTTCTTTGCATCTTCCTGATGCTTAGTGATGTACATCTTTGCAGCTCTTGGAGCTAATTCAGGCGTTGAATCCCTTCGTTTGCGATGGTATTCTAACAAGTACGTTTACCGGCAGAGCTGATTTGGGAACGGAATTTGGGCGTAGACATACTGCGTAGGATCTAGCACTGATTTACTCAGAAGCCAACGATCAAGTATCTTATTCAGCTGTATCTCCGCGGACTCAAAACTGGCAGAACTTAGTGGAATCATTTAATGTCTGCATTCACCTATAAGTTTTAATTCTTTTCTTACGGGTAACCAGTTCTAGTTCAGCCCCTGATTTTATGAGGAAAGGTAGTTTGAGTTGCGAAAATTCCCATCAGAGAAGTTGGAAGAGTGGTTGGCGAGCGTACGTAGGCTTTTGGGCCATTCAATTCATGTGGGAACGGGGTACAAATTTAACAAGTGGTCAACAATGTTAGTTTTTTAATACAAGGGAGTCGTGGGAATAGGGGGTAAGGGTCCGATAAGAGGAAGATGGTTGCACGGAGAGAGTTTGTTAGGACCCGTCCAGGGGAAAGGGCGAAAAGGGGGAGGGGAGGGAGACAACGAGAACGCGGACGCAGCTAAGTGGCTGTGGGCTATGCCAGACGCGATGCTTGCATGAGGTTCTTTTGTGCACACAACCCCAGCCTCCTCAGCCTGATAGCGGTCGCTTCCGTGGTTATTAGCGGACGCTGACCGAAAGGCTTTGGGTAATTTGGTGGGACCTTATAAATCACTCTGAAGGCTTCGCTGGAGTCCATACAATGTCCGGAATCAATAATATGGGCGCGAATGACACTGTTTATGCTCCTTACTTCACCTTTTCTCAGCTATACCGGATGGTACTCCCGGTAGTTTGTCGTACCTCTAGGGGCTACCTACTAGAAAAAAAAGTAGGCGAAGGAAAACAATAGAGAAAGTAGGACTTATGTCTAACTTTACCCCTTTGGGGTCACAAAATACGGGCATGGTTAGCGGTCTAATTGCGGTCTGAATAAAAATCGAAAAGTCCAAATACATGGAAAACC